ATGTATGTATATATAACATATATATGTAGTATATATCACTATATATGTATGTATATTTATATATATATATTACACTTATATGTATGTATATATATACAATATATTATGTATATATAATATATATCAATTATTATTATTATATTACACATATATATATGTATATATATACACATATATATGTATATATATATATACACATATATATGTATGTATGTTATATGTATATATATATATATATGTGTATATATATGTATGTGTTATATATATAGATATGTTATTATATTATATATATATATATATATATATTATATATATATATAATATATATATAATATATTATTATATATAAAATATATATATATATATTATATATATATATATATATATATTATATTAAAATATATATATATATATATATTATATATATATATATATATATATATATATATATATATATGTATATATTATATATATATTTTTTAAAAAGTAACCCATCCTTGAACAGGACTGTATTAAATAGTAGAAAGTTAACAAGTTAACAAGGCAGACTTTAGATTTAATATTATTATTCAATTGATACTATTTTTCTTTTTTTCTTTTTTTTGTTACACATATCTTGTGTTTTCTCATCCTCACTTTCCCTTTATTCATTATCACTGATTTTATAAGGAGAATCCTGTAATGAAACCAAATACTTTATTCAGAATTTTTAAATGGGTTATATATTTTAGGCATTTTGTAGCTATGTATGTCTACTATTTGTTTAAAATCTGACTTTTTTTTTTTTTTTTTTTTTTTTTTTTTGAGAGTTAGGAATTGTTTTGCACCTAATTATGAGGAATGTTAGAGTTATGTGTGTGTGGGCGGGCACCCCCCCCCACACACACACACTTTTATTTCTTTACTTTTCTCATTCCACCTTGGTTTCTAATAATTCAGGATTATATGAATATGCTTATGTTTCCCAGGCTCAGATGTTTTATGATTATTTAAGCTGTACTTTGATCATGAATATAGTCGATATCTACATACACTCTTTAAGAAAATAAGGCTTGGTAAAGAAAAAATATAAATTATCAAAGAATATTCAAAGTAGGTTAAAATGTATTGTCTATGAATAGCTGATTAAAGTTAGTTGAAAAGAATAGTAATTACTAATTAAAGTCACAATACTGCGGAGATATAAAATATAAGTGCAGGACAATTAATACGACTAATGAATACTCTTTTCCCCAGAATTAAGGTCTTGCAGCAGGAAAGATGGATGATGATTCATTTGAAATCAAAGAAGAGGAGATTGACAAGCTCTCCACAAACATCAAACAAGAGGATGATGCAGGTTCCAGAAAGAAAAGCCTTGTTGAATGGAAGAAGGAACACCACATCGCATTTTTGGGAAAAGGAGTTTTCAATGTCGGGAAGAAAGCTGGTGTTTCCAAAATGGGTAAGGAGGAGGAGGAGCCTTTGGACATTGAGGGAGAATTGGCCCAAGTCATAAGGATCTGCTGAAAATGAGAGGAGGTTGTGGAAGATCAAGAGAATTATTGTACAGATTCCCAGGATCACAGTTGTGGTGGCCTCTCTTGTGCAGTGGAAGGTACTAAAGAGACCCGTGTTGCAAGATATAAAATGGAAAAGACTTTTACTTGTGATATTTGTAGCAAAAACTTTGGTCGAAAGGAAAATATTGTTATGCACATGAGGATACACACGGGAGAAGCCCTATGACTGTAATAAATGTGAGAAGAAGTTTCCGCACATTGGTGATTTAATAAGGCATAAGAGGGTGCACACAGGAGAAAAGCCATATGTATGTGATGTATGTGGAACTGGTTATACAAATATAAGCACTTGGAAAAGGCACCAGAGAATACACACTGGTGAGAAGCCATTTACTTGTGATGTGTGTGGCAAGGAATTTAGACACAAGAGCACACTGAGTAAACACATAACTATACACACAGGGGAAAAGAAGTATGAGTGTGATATATGTAAAAGAAGGTTTCGAGAAAAATCTAGCATAGTAAAACACATGAGAATTCATACTAGACAATAGGATAGAAGCTGTGAATTTTTAGTAACAATTTCAACAGCTGTTGTGATCTGGAAAAAGCACATGAGGATTGATACAAAAGAAAAGCTTTATAATTGTTCCAAGTGTGAAAAGAAATTCTCTTAAAATGCATTACATATACATTGTTTGGTATAGGACAGTAGAAAAGATAGTCTGTTCCTTTACTGAATACTTTATTTTTTAACAAAGAACGAAGTGCACACAAAACTCATTTAGTTGCTCTATATGCATTAAGAAACTCTCAATAAAGCAAGCCATGTGAGAGGATATAAAACAGAAAAATCAGAATTCATTATCAGAAGCAATAATGATACAAACTTATTTTACGTTTAGAAATGTATATTGCAAAACACTTATGGCACATTATTTGATGAATTAGTGGGAAGGTGTCTGATTTCTTTTATTACATACGCTATTAAAGTTAACGTTAATTTGTATAAGAAATGGTCCCTATGTTTTTTCTTTACACATACATATTCATGCACACATCCCCCCCACACATGCAAATGTACTCATCCAGACATTTATACACATGTATACACAGTATACACAGTATACACACTATACACATATACACACCTACATATATCATAATACAGTATACATACCACACACTACACATATACACACTCATACATAGTCATACCACACACACACAACAGTATAGACACCCACACACATATCCACATACATTCTGAACCTACACATATACACCTCCACTCACACATACTCAAAACATATATGAATTTTAATGTTGCAGTTAACATTTGATGAAATGTCATGATTTTGATGTGATTATATTTTGTGATGGTTTACAATAATAAATATTTTATTTTGAAGTTCCATGTTTGTTGGTGTATGCAAACATTTGTGTAATGCAGTACACAATAAAAAATGCAAGAGTTATATATTTGTAGTAAATTAGGGTGTTTTTACCTATTTGTTTGAATAAAGGAGAGAGCAGAACACATGTGGATTTCAACACGCCGCGTGCCGTGGCGTGCGTGCGTGCGTGCGTGCGTCGCGTGCCGTGCGTGCGTGCGTGCGTGCGTGCGTGCGTGCGTGTGCGTGCGTGCGTGCGTGCGTGCGTGCGTGCGTGCGTGCGTGCGTGTGTGTGTGTGTGTGTGTGTGTGTGTGTGTGTGTGTGTGTGTGTTGTGTGTGTGTGTGTGTGTGTGTGTGTGTGTGTGTGTGTGTGTGTGTTTGGGTATAGGTGCATGTGTGCGTGCGTACGTATGCGTGCGTGCTAGCTTGATGTATGTCTGTACTTGCTTCATGGAAATAACCTACATGAAGTTGTATAACTTCAGATTAGGACATAAGTTTGGTCATGTGGTCTAGATTTCCTCTTTCTAGTACATGTTTCACTTCCGTGTGATTAGCGTATAGTCTATTGGTTTACTTGAACGCTCTCATTAACATTCTGTTTCAGGATAGTGGATTCTAGTCATATGAGAGAATGCATATGACTTTTAAGATATATATTTTTCTCTCTCTCTCTTCTCTCTCTTCTCCTCTTTTCTCTCTCTCTTCTCTTCTCTTCTCTTCTCTTCTCTTCTCTTCTCTTCTCTTCTCTTCTCTTCTTCTTCTTCTCTTCTCTTCTCTTATTTCTCTTTCTCTCTTTTTTTCTCTCTCTTCTCTTCTCTTTCTTCTTCTCTTCTCTTCTCTTCTCTTCTCTCTCTTCTCTTTCTCTTCTCTTCTTCTCTTCTCTTCTCTTCTCTTCTTCTCTTTCTCTTCTTCTTCTCTTCTTCTCTTCTCTTCTCTTCTCTTCTCTCCTTCTATCTTCTCTTCTCCTTCTCTTCTCCTCTCCTCCTCTCGCTCTCCTCTCCTCTTCTCCTCTCCTCTCTTTCTTCCTCTCTTCTTCTTCTTCTCTTTCTCTCCTTCTCTCTCCATTCTCTCTCTTTTCTCTTCTCNTCACTAACAGTAGTTCCCACGTTTTACTCGCAGTCTCTTTCGCAAACCTCCGATGCATACGCGATCCCGGATATCGGCTTTTCCATTTTTTTTTTTTTTTTCAATTAGTCTAAGAAGAAAAAATATTTAGTCTGACGCAATCATCTACCTAATTGTACTACAATAATCCTTAGAGATAATGGTTAATACTTCAAACTAATAAATGAGCTAGTCCTTTATGGATCAGGATATGGTCTCATAGATGCTTGTCTTATGGATGTGTTAGTTGGTTCCATACACATGCTTGTAAGGGTCACTTACGAGGGAGAACTCGCTTCCCTCTCTCTCTCTGAGCAATCTCTCAACTTATTTTTACTTGATTTTTTGTTTACAAGGAGAGACCAGCGCTTCTCTATGTTTGATTCAGGGGAAAAATCGTCAATCTGAATACAGAATATACCTTCTGGTATCCTTGGCAGGATACCAGAAGCTTCAAGGATGTTGCTATACATTTTGCCTATAAATTCATCGTTGCACACAAAAGTTCGGTTCGTAATGACAGCACTATTTATAGAGGTTTTCGGAGCTCTGCTGGAAATGCAAGAAACGTCAGCGCAGTAAAACCGAAGCTGCGTCGCCCGGAACACGCCGGCTACTCGCCTCTTCCGATTACCTTGGCCCTGAAATAAATGTGCTGCACTTTATTATTTGTAATTTATCTTTTGGCACACTAATATTTATATAATTTATCTTTTGGCACACTAATATTTTTATAATTTTTCTTTTGGCACACTAATATTTATATAATTTATCTTTTGGCACACTAATATTTATATAATTTATCTTTTGGCACACTAATATTTATATGATTTATCTTTTGGCACACTATTTATTAATTTATCTTTTGGCACATAATATTTATATAATTTATCTTTGGCAACTAATATTTATATAATTTATCTTTTGGCACACTAATATTTATATGATTATCTTTTTGGCACACTATTTATATAATTTATCTTTTGGCACACTAATATTTATATAATATTTTTTTGGCACACTAATATTTATATAATTTATCTTTTGGCACTATTTATATAATTTATCTTTTGACACTAATATTTATATAATTTATCTTTGGCACACTAATATTTATTAGTTTTTCTTTTGGCACACTAATATTTATATAATTATCTTTTGGCACACTAATATTTATATTTTATCTTTTGGCACACTATTTATATATTTTATCTTTTGGCATAATATTTATATAATTTATCTTTTGGACTAATATTTATATGATTTATCTTTTGGCACACTATTTATATATTTATTTTTGGACACTAATATTATATAATTTATTCTTTGGCACACTAATATTTATATAGTTTCTTTTGGCAACTAATATTTTATAATTTATCTTTTGGCACACTAATATTTATATATCTTATTTTGGCACACTATTTATTAATTTATCTTTTGGCACTAATATTTATATTTTATCTTTTGGCACTAATATTTTATATGATTTATCTTTTGGCACACTATTTATATATTTATCTTTTGGCACACTAATATTTATATAATTTATCTTTTGGCACCTAATATTTATATAATTTATCTTTTGGCACAATTTATATAATTTATCTTTTGGCACACTAATATTTATATAATTTATCTTTGGAACTATTTATTAATTTATCTTTTGGCACACTAATATTTATATAATTTATCTTTTGGCACACTAATATTTATATAGTTTTTCTTTGGACCTAATATTTATATATTTATCTTTTGGCACACATTTTATATAATTTATTTTTGGCACACTAATATTTATATAGTTTTTCTTTTGGCACTAATATATTTATATAATTTATCTTTTGGACACTAATATTTATATAGTTTTTCTTTTTTTGGCACACTAATATTTATATAATTTATCTTTTGGCACACTATTTATATAATTTATCTTTTGGCACACTAATATTTTTATAATTTATATTTTTGGCACACTATATTTATATGTTTTTCTTTTGGCACACTAATATTTATATAATTTATTTTTGGCACTAATATTTATATAATTTATCTTTTGGCACACTAATATTTATATGATTTATCTTTTGGCACACTAATATTTATATGATTTATCTTTTGGCACACTAATATTTATATAGTTTTTTCTTTTGGCACACTAATATTTATATAATTTATCTTTTGGCACACTATTTATATAATTTATCTTTTGGCATAATATTTATATTTATCTTTTGGCACACTAATATTTATATAATTTATCTTTTGGCACACTAATATTTATATAATTTATCTTTTGGCACACTATTTATATAATTTATCTTTTGGCACACTAATATTTATATAATTTATCTTTTGGCACACTAATATTTATATAATTTATCTTTTGGCACACTAATATTTATATAATTTATCTTTTGGCACACTAATATTTATATAATTTATCTTTTGGCACACTATTTATATAATTTATCTTTTGGCACACTAATATTTATATAATTTATCTTTTGGCACACTAATATTTATATAGTTTTTCTTTTGGCACACTAATATTTATATATTTATCTTTTGGCACACTATTTATATAATTTATCTTTTGGCACACTAATATTTATATAATTTATCTTTTGGCACACTAATATTTATATAATTTATCTTTTGGCACACTATTTATATAATTTATCTTTTGGCACACTAATATTTATATAATTTATCTTTTGGCACACTATTTATATATTTATCTTTTGGCACACTAATATTTATATAATTTATCTTTTGGCACTACTATATTTATATGATTTATCTTTTGGCACACTATTTATATATTTATCTTTTGGCACACTAATATTTATATAATTTATCTTTTGGCACACTATTTATATAATTTATCTTTTGGCAACTAATATTTATATAGTTTTTTTTGGCACACTAATATTTATTAATTTACTTTTTGGCACACTAATATTTATATGATTTATCTTTTGGCACACTAATATTTATATGATTTATCTTTTGGCACTAATATTTATATAATTTATCTTTTGGCACACTAATATTTATATAATTTATCTTTTGGCACTAATTTATATAATTTATCTTTTGGCACACTATTTTATATATTTATCTTTTGGCACTAATATTTATATAATTTATTTTGGCCACTAATATTTATATAATTTATCTTTTGGCACACTAATATTTATATATTTTTCTTTTGGCACACTAATATTTATATAATTTATCTTTTGGCACACTAATATTTATATAATTTATCTTTTGGCACACTAATATTTATATAATTTATCTTTTGGCACACTAATATTTATATAATTTATCTTTTGGCACACTATTTATATAATTTATCTTTTGGCACTAATATTTATATATTTATCTTTTGGCACACTAATATTTATATTTTATCTTTTGGCACACTAATTTTATATAATTTATCTTTTGGCACTAATATTTATATGATTTATCTTTTGGCACTAATATTTATATAATTTTTTTGGCACACTAATTTTATATTTTCTTTTGGCACACTAATTATTTTATATTTATCTTTTGGCACACTAATATTTATATAATTTATCTTTTGGCACACTAATATTTTATATATTTATCTTTTGGCACACTAATATTTATATAGTTTTTTCTTTGGCACACTAATATTTATATAATTTATCTTTTGGCACACTAATATTTATATAATTTATCTTTTGGCACACTAATATTTTATATAATTTTATCTTTTGGCAACTAATATTTATATAATTTATCTTTTGGCACACTATTTATATAATTTATCTTTTGGCACTAATATTTATATATTTATCTTTTGGCACACTAATATTTATATAATTTATCTTTTGGCACACTAATATTTATATAATTTATCTTTTGGCACACTAATATTTATATGATTTATCTTTTGGCACTAATATTTATATAATTTTTTTGGCACTAATATTTTATATTTTATCTTTTGGCACAACTAATATTTATATATTTATCTTTGGCACACTAATATTTATATAATTTATCTTTTGGCACACTAATATTTATTAATAATTTTTTGGCACACTAATATTTATATTTATCTTTTGGCACACTAATATTTATATATTTATCTTTTGGCACACTAATATTTATATAATTTATCTTTTGGCACACTAATATTTATATAATTTATCTTTTGGCACACTAATATTTATATAATTTATCTTTTGGCACACTAATATTTATGTCGGTGATCACGAACACTGTTGGTGCTAAGAGCGTTCATAAAGTTATCAGTTCACTTATATTTTAAAACTTAATATCATAGAACACAAGGAAACAGGTAATATTGAAAATGCCAAATACAATCTTTAAATTCATTTATTCATTATTATTTTGTAAGGTCCAAACAGCGGAAAAACAACAAAATCTTAACATACTGTATAACATTGTTTGCATATAACAAAACATTAGAAAAGTTTCATAATACTGCAGTATTGTAATACAAGGGAGAGGAGAAAGAGAGGGGCGGGGGAGAAAAGGAGAATTTACAATATAAAAAAATGAAACAGATTTAGCGGCAATACATATATATCTACGTAGGCAATATGTGTGTAATAAATAAAACAAATAGAAAGAAACCTCTATCTTGTGAATGAAGGCTTCCGGCAGCGATACCCGATACAATACCTTAATAGATTTCCCTCAGTCCTTTGTCAGTTATCTTGTATGATAAGCAAGGTATCAAACAGATTAATACGAAATATATTTAGTTTCCCATCATTTAAAGATCTTTTCCGTCAGTCTTATGTCCTCTCAAATGCTTCATCATGTTGCTTTTTACCGTGAATTTCTTACTGCATAGAGAACAAGTGTAAGGCTTTTCCCCTGTATGAATTCTCATGTGTCTTCCGAGGTCACGACGGATGTAGAACTTTTTACCGCAGGTTTCACAAGCAAAATCTCTCTGGCCTGTGTGGATTTTTATGTGCTTTATTAAGTCACCTTTGTTCATAAACATCTTTTTACAAACATCACAGCCATATTTCTTTTCTTCAGTGTGTATCTTCCCGTGTCTGATTTGCGAGCTTTTGCTCATAAATTCCTTTTTACACACATTGCAGCTAAATTTCTTGCCACACACATTGCGAGCGAACGTTTTTTCGCCAGTGTGGATTCTTAAATGCCTTTTGTGCGAGGTTATATTCGAGAAGCTCGATCCACAAACCTCGCATCTATAAGGTTTTTCTCCGGTGTGAACCCTCATATGCCGTGCCAGATCCCCTGAATGGGGAAACTTCTTACTGCACCTGTCACAAGCGAAGGGCCTCTCCCCCGTGTGTGTTCTGATGTGCACGACCAAATTTCCCTTTTGAGAGAAGCCTTTACCACAAATATCGCAGCTGAATGATTTTTCTGCACCACACCTCTTACTATGAAGCTCCCATTGTAAGTGGCTCGTAAATTCCTTCTTACACTTTCCGCATCTGAAGGACTCATCGGCTGACTCCTCTGCGGCTGTCGTAGCGCCGGACATTTCTCCACAACAGTCTTCTTGAAAATCGGTTTGATGCTTGGCTTCCTCTTCGACAACCTCTTCCTCGATGTCTATGAGATCCTTGACATCAGCAAGCTCTTCCTTAATCCCCCAAGTAATATTCTCCTCCATTACAGAACGTCCTATGCTCGTCCTTGAAAGGGCCTCCTCGTCCATTGGCATAAGGATGGGTTCCTCTTTCAAATCCACAATGTCCTCAAGTTTGATGCCTTCGATGAGGGTGTCATCCTCGATTTCTTGTTTGACATAACTGGAATCATCAACCATATTCCCGCCATTCCAGTGTGCCTGAATATATAAACCTGTGGGGAATATATAAAAATTCATATGCTGCCTATTGGTGGCTTATATGTAATCATTATAGTTATTTTTTTCTTTAGTATTCTAAACTAATTAATTCATTACAATATTCTTTTCCTGTTCAGCTTCAGAAAAGGCA